CAGGCGCTTTCGGCGGGCGCCGCTGTCCTGGGGTTGCCGGACCGCTCCTCCGGCAACCGCCCCAGCCAGGCTGAAGGGCAGGCCGCTGGGGCCGATGGGCGGGCTGCAGGGCCGCTCGCGGACGCCGCCGAGCTTGGGTTGCCGGACCGCTCCTCCGGCAACCGCCCCTGCCAGGCTTCGGAGGGCCCCGCCGAGGCCGTGGGCCGAAGGCCACGTGGCGGCCGCTCGCCGAGCCCCAACCGCGCGGCCGCGCCCTGCGGCACGCCCGCGTCGCCCGCGCCCGTGGCCGACGGCGCGCCCGCGACAGCAGTGCGAAGGAGGATCCGCAGCAAGACGGCCCGGCCGTCGGCCAGCGGCGGCAGCGGCGGCGCCCCCAGCACCACTGCTGCCATGACGGGCGCGGGCGTGAGGCAGAGCGGGCAGGCGGACGCGCCACTGGCGCCGCCGGCGTGGCCAGAGGGCGGGGAAGTGCCGCCAGTGCGGCGCCCCGCGGGGCCGTCGTCGCGGCTGGGTGGACCCTGCAGCCCCCACCAGCCAGCAGACGACGGCGAGGAGGCGGCGGACACGGCGTCGCCGTCGCCGGCGCGGGCGTCGGGCGCGCGCGGGGGGCCGCGCGGGCCGAGCGGGCCGTGAGCCCAGACCGAACTTCTGGTGGCCTTCGGCGTCGTCCAGCGTGCTGGACGGCGCCGTGGGCTTCCTTTGAAGCTGCCCCATCCATCCTCCTCCTCCTCCTCCTCCTCCTCCTCCTCCTCCCCCTCCCCCTCCCCCTCCCCCTCCTCTCCTCCTCCTCCTCCTCCCCTCCTCCCTCCTCCTCCTCCTCCTCCTCCTCCTCCTCGCTGGCCCTGCCCTGCGTGCGGCCCTCCCCCAAGGGCTGCACGCCGGATGCGCACGCGCGTGCTGCGTGTCCACACACACACAAGAGACGGAGCGACAGAGGGACAGAGCGTGTCTCTGTACGTGTCTCTGTGTGCTTCTGTGTGTGTGTCGCTCGTTCCTGGTGCCCTGCCTTGGGTTGGAGCGCACCGCGGCGCGCGATCTGGAAGAGCGATCGATCGCTTGTGCTTCTCCCCTGCCCTCTCTTTTTCTCTCCCTCTCTCTATATGTGATTCGCTCCCTCTCTCTCCCTCTCTCTCTCTATCCCTCTCTCGATCTGGAGCGCGATCGATTCTCTGTCTCTCTCTCTCTCTCTCTTTCTCTCTCTATCCCTCTTTCTCCTTCTCTTTCTCTCCCTCTGATTGCCTCTCTGTCTGTCTGATTATGTTTCTGTGCCTGTGATTGCGTGCCTGTGCGTACGCTTGTTTCCGTGAGCATGTGTGTATCTTAGTGAGAGAGGGAGAGAGAGAGAGAGAGAGAGAGAGAGAGACCAAAAACATGTACGTTGTTTTCGTGAGCAGATTCGTGTCTGTGTTATATATAGAGAGAGAGGGAGAGAGAGAGAGAGAGACAAACAACAAATAAACATAGAGAGAGGGAAATAAACATCAACAAAGAGAAAGAAAGAGAGAGAAGGAGAGGCACACACACACACACATGAACATATTTATATGTATAAAGAGAGAGAGAGAGAGAGAGACAAACAACTAACTAACGAACACGTATAACAAACCGTGTGTAATTGCGCTTTCGCAAGGGATGCCGCGCCGTCCATGGCGCTCGGCGGGCCCCATGTTTTCTCTCCTGGCCCGCTTGGGGGAGAAGGAGCTCCCGAAGCGCACGGGGCCGAGCAGGAAGGGCAGAGAAATGGCCAGTGCCAGTCGAAGAGGCGGCGCTGCACAAGAAAAAATGAGCGCGAGGTGACAGTCTAGCTTCTACGCTGAGGTCCAGTCTCCATTCGGGACTCCTCGCGGCTCACCCGCGGGCAGATCTGACACATACGCGTTCTGCCGACCTGCCTTCGAGGAAGACGGCTGAATCCAGATGCCTCTTCATCGGGAGCAATGGCCTTCTCGAAAGACAAGGCCACAACGAATGGCTCGCTCTGAGCCTGAGACAGGTCCCCCGCACCGCAGCAGAACAACCAGGGGCTCCTGGACTCGGCAAGGGCGCTTCAGGGCCACAAGCTCGGTCACCGCCCCTGTCTTGACAGAGCTGACGCCAGCCCAGAAGGGGCCAGAGGGGGTGAGACTGGCGATGCGGCGCGGCGCGTGCCGGCAGCGGGGCGGGCCCCTTCGATGGACTCCGAGTGGGGCGATCCGCGCCGAGGGACCCGGACTTGCCTCGGAGGCGGCGATACGGGTGAACAGCCCAGGGGGGAGCAATACCTGTATCCTGCGGCGCCGACGTGGTCCATGTCTCCCACGAGGCTCCCCAGCGAATGCGTGTGATGACCGCCCCTTGGGCTATTCGCCCATATCGCAGCCTCCTCGGTGGCAACTCACAGGGAGCCTCCCATACCATCTTGTCGGCTCTTGCGAATCGACGCTCAATCGACGCTAATCGATGCTAAATCGACGCTTCTCGACGCTACATCGACGCTCATCAACGCTGAATAGGCACTACC